GGCGGGGCCCGGCAGTCGGCGATGAGTTGGAATTGACTACGTCCTGCCATACAGGTGATGGTTTTGAGCACGAGCAGGCGAGGGCTTGGTTGGGAATTGGGATGTTTTGGTGACACTGACGGCTTTAGCTCAGCTTTTAGCTCCTCAGCGACCTCGGGCAGTTCTCAGAGCCGTAATTCAGCCAGTAAGCACGGAGCTGTCAGGTCACCTGTCCACGGTGGCTGCTCTGAGCCCGACGAGCCGCTTTCCAGCGCCCCGGCCCGGCGCTGATGATCCTACCCAGGTCTGGTGGACCACCACCTCCCGGCCAACCGCGAGCGACCGAGTTATCAACCAAAACAGCCGACTCATAACCAGAAACTGTGTGATTCGGACGGACCAGTTGGTCTGAGGTCTCTTCTGATCCACTTTCACTGGACGAGCCGGCGATGTCTCAGTCTGAGGACCCGACAGTGACTGGGCGGCTGGTTATTGGCAGACAGAGGTGTCTGATTGACCCGCGGCTGCTGCTGGCTGACCTGGATTTGCTGCACCACGGGAGGCGGTAATACCGTTACGGCGAGCCCCGGTGGCGGCGTATCGCGGCAGCGTCACACCCCGGCTGTTTGGTGTTACCCGGCGGTGAGTTTTTACACGGCACTGCGTCATGGTTGGCTAGGAGCACGCATCGTGGGCCATTAACATCTTCACATCATTTGGAGGGAGTATTCGTCGAATCTTCACATCAATCAAGATAACCGTTAAGTTAAATATGACTGCTGGATTGCAGGTGCAGCTATATACCTGCATGGTGAAGATGCTGCTAATTCAACGGATAGAAAGGTTCTGTGATACAGACGAATCGGGTTAAATCCGATTTAGATTAAAATGTGTATGGCGGTTTCATTCGGGCCTTGGCTGTTGCAAGCCAAATAACAGATTTATGTCATGGTTATGCAGACATATTATGTAGAATGCAAAATCTTCGGGAGCATCCTGGGTTCGGTAGCAGAGAAGCATAAGTTAAAAGTGACTATGAAGTTAATGGAACAAAATTGTGTTTATTACTATACATTATGCATTTACATACACACATACATTATACATTTTTGTGGATGATGGATCTCAGGCATACATTCCAGCTAAAGATAACGCATCATTAATTAGCAATAGCATATTCCTGACCATGGGTGGAACTTTCCCAGGGAAGTTGGTGGGGCAAAAAGTCGTCAAATCTATAATGTCCGATTGTTAAATTAGATAAAGTGCAACATTGAATCATGTTTTTCATTACAGAGATAACATTTTGTATTACATAGACATTTCAAAGCTCCTCAATGCGAAAAGATTGGTTTGCTAAGCAACAAAGTCCTAAAAATCAGCGTAAGTTGGTGGGGAAAAACGTTTAGGTATTGGTGGGGCATGATGGCAAGTTGGTGGGGCACCCGCCCCACCAACCGAATAGGAAGCTCCGCCCTTGTAATCCTAACGACAGCAAAGGGATGCATTCATGGAAGTTTGATTGACGGCGACTTATCAAGAGTCTTTCCATGGACGGGGATTCAATAATCCATCGCTAACGTCAGAGAGCCGCCTCTTGAGCTCTTCATATGTCCTCAGGGACACTGCGTGATTTCGATCAAATGGTCTTCCATGCTATAAAAGGATTATTATCAAACCCATACAATAAGATATTTATGTCATAAAACCTACACTTTATCATCTGTAATGATGCCGAATAAGCAGGGATAATGACTAACATTCAATGACTGGCATGTGTCCATAGTCGATATCTCATATATCCTGACTGAACAGTGAACACCTGCACTGGATCGGGGTGGGGCCTGACGGTTCTGTGTAACCGGTACCATCTGGTCCCTCTATCACCGATATTGGCCGTGGCACTGAACCGGGTCGAACAGGGAGAGGGGGGAGAGGGGGAGAGGAAGGGAGGGACGCCACTGCACCAGTGCGTTTGTTTCGCAGCACGGCGGCCCGTTCAAATACCGCCCGCCCCGTCGGCGGACAGCGGCGACCGGAAGTGACCAACTACCGGTGCGGTGACTGGCCCGGATGTGACGGTCAGCGTCACACGTGTCCCCTGCTCCCCTCCCCTCCCCAGAGACACACCCGGCTCTTCCCATCCCAACCCAGCGAACGAGCGCTCATGTCTGAGCGGCATGTGCCACTCTCAACATTCTGTCCGCTGCAGCTCGACACAGCTCTCGACAAAAGGGAATGCTCGACTCGGTCATCCGGTGGGTTGGCTCAGTCACCCTTCACACACTTATTCACGGTCTATTTTCCGTCTGTAATACGTCGCTCATCGACATTTTCACTGATGTTATTCAGTGAGAATCATGTTCATTCCTCACCATAGCGATAGAGTTCGATTGGCTTGTGATCATAGTGCTCTTTCAGCGAGTTCAGTGAGGATGAGTTTTTACTTCATCGCTTCGCTTTTCAGCGAGAGAGAGTGGTGAACGAACCGGTAAGATCGCTCCTGTCATCCAGGAGTGTCGAGTGGAGAGAGGGAGAGAGAGAGAGAGGGAGAGAGAGAAATTCTCTTACCGTGTTGGAGTCATTCCTATTCCAGTCCATTGATGGACTCATTCCACGAGTGCCAGTCAAGCTTAAAAAGCTAACGTCGTCCCAAATTCCGAAAGAGCGTGACCATTTTCCAATGCCCAGGGTCTAGTATAGAACGACTCAAATTTACTTTAGGCTCTCAGACTCAATTTCTGGCTTATTCCGGCCCAACCAAGGCTGCGAGACTCTGATCAGGATCAGATGGGACTCATTTCAGTTCGGTTTCAGCTCGCATGCAGCGTTCGTGGGTCATGAGGCATGTGACATGAAATACACATGAATATATGATCTCGCAAAAATGACATCAGCGGCTCAAGTTAACCTACGTCCATGCTGAGTACCAACTGGCAGCCTGAAGTCGAACCGATCAGGGAAGAGACAGATGCGTGAGGACTGAGGAATGCCTCCCTGAAAACCGTCAAGTCATTAGGCGGCCGCGGTACACTGACCGACAGCCGATCTGAGCAGCAGGAACGTCAACGGCTTCACGGGCTGAAGCCGGCTCTACGGGACTGAGGCCGGCTCCGAATTCCCGTCATCTGTCGGTGCCAGGTGTCGGCGTTCGCCGATCGACACAGCCGACAGACGAGGTCACGGCGTGCCAGGACGTGTCATTGCGTGTCATGGGCGCGCGTTACTGACACGCGAACAGCAGTCTGACACCGCTACTGCGACCGACAGTCAGTGACGGGCCGTTAGAGCAGGGCGCACGCCAGCTGAGAGGAACAGTTAGGACGAGATACCAGCACGTCACTCTGCTCGGCTATAATGGTAGATGTAACCCTAACCTTGCAGTCACTGCATTTTTTTCTAGAGATAGGGGTTATGTTCGTCAGATGTGGCAACGTTGCTAATGATAAATATGTACATACAATGCCATGCAGCGTAATTTTTGTTATTTCCATGTTTATGATTTCGTTCGTTTTTATGTTTGAGACGCGATAGGCTGAAGTGAAAGCTCAAGAGCGGTTTTTCAAGTAAACGAGGAAATACAGGATAACCAGCTATGGAGTTCAAGCAACACTGGCCTTTTCTTTCTGGCTTGACATGAATGATTAATGACAGTAGCGGATCCAGGGGGGGGGCAAAATGGGCATTTGCCCCCCCCCCCAAAACGGCATGATTTTAACATTACGCCTATGGACGATGCATGGAAAGAATCGATAAATTGTTATGGTTTGCCCCCCCCCCCAAAAAAAAAACTCTGAGCTGGATCCGCCTCTGATTAATGAGGTGCTGAAAGGGCCTTAAAAGGAAATCGGCACATGTATAATGTGTAGACACCGTTACGCGGGAAATAAAATGAGCCCACAATGGTTTGGCACCAATTCACAAATCTCTAACGGAGCTCTATAGAGGCAAATAGTCGGCCCGCTGGCAGCCACTGGCACCGATTAGGAGTGATTGTCACGCCCACCATGTCCAACAAGCGTGAATAAGCTGTGTAACCAGGCCACTTCTGAGTTTCCGTGAGCTTCCTTGGTACCTAACTGGTATGGCCATACCTTGAAAACATAAGCCAAATTATTTGCGAAGGGACTAATTCATGCTGATTGCCATGTCAATAAGTTCCCCGTGTTATTTGTGATGGACAATTAATAAAGCAAACAAACTATGCATCAATGCGCATTGCCCAATATTCGCATTGTAAGTTGCCTTTAAACGGCAAGCCCCTCTCTCTGTTCACTGAAATGAGGTAGGCGTGAGGGACAGAGCGATGACCAGGATGATTATGAGCCGCACACCTCCCTGATCGTGGAGAGAGAGAGCGTGCTGCGAGCTGCGGCGGCCGGCGGTGATGCGCGCGGGGCCGGGAGGGGTGAGGGGAGGGGAGAGGAGGGGTGGGGGTGGTCGGACAGGTCAGGTGGCGAGCGCCCGGCTCAGCGGCCGGCCAGAGAAATCGGCCACGTCAGACGGCCCACCAACCCCGCCCCTCCCTCCTCCCTCCCCCGGATATCCGCCCGTGCGCGGCTGTTACTAACTGCGAGGAGACGGTGTGTTGGGACGTCTCTGGCCGGAGGGCCTATAACGCCAGGTGCCGCGGGGACAATGAGCAGCTGACGGATCTGTTCATTGAAAAACGGATTCTAACGACCTAAGCGGAGCTGAGCCCTCCAGTTCGGCGGCGGGACGGTGTATTCGACATAAGCCGCAGACGACGGCAGGTGGTGGATTCCTCCTCCTTGGCCCGTTTAGCCGACCAGAAGGAGGCGAAAAACGGCCAACGACTCGACTTGACTCGAGCGGAAGAGTCTGCGGCTGGCTCGGCAGCCGGCGCAGAAAAGACGCACAAACGTGATGCAGACACGGGTTCTTTCAGCTTTATAGCCGAGTCCGGAACAGGCTGCAGCATGGAATGGTTGACTGATGTTTTAAGTACAGGCCTTTCTGGACAATTGACCCGAAGAAGGAAGCCTCACCCAAAGCCTCACCTGAATTTGGCCGTGGGTGCGCAGAAGACGCGCGGTAGGTCCTGCAGCAGGCCGGTCACTTTGGGCACCGCTGCCGAGCTGAGGTCAGCCAGCTGACCCCTGAGCTGCGACCCGAGGCCGCTGACCTGACCGCGGAGCTGCTCCAGCGCCAGCCGCGAGCGGTGGCAGCAGCCGAGGGCAGAGCCCAGCGCCGGCCGCGGAGTGCACAGCAGCCGCGAGTAGGCCGGCTCCGACATGATGCTGCCGGCGCGGAGAGCTGACAGCCGTCAGCAGCCGTCAGGAGCCGACAGAGGTGTCAGCGATCCACAAACAGGTCTGCTTTGACGGGACCGTCTTTCTTGAGCTAATCACAATGAAGTCTGGTGGATAGAGCGCCGCACTTCGTCCACGCCTCCACTTGATTCCTCTCAGATGCACAGCACTGAGCTGTCTTCACGCTCGGCTCTGCCGTCTATTGTCGCCCTCCTGACACAATGCCCGAGTCCGCTGCACTGCACTGGGCTCTTAGCCTCTTTCAGTCCACGAAGCACGGCGGCGAGATCCACTCGATGCGGTTTGAGTGCAGTCCGTGTTAGCAGTCCTCACACAGCCAGTCACACAGATCCAGTCCAGTCACAGTCCAGCTCATCTAGTTCAAGTTACAGCTCACACCACAGTTCACTGTCCTTTTGATAATCCACGCCGCGGCACTCCTTTCAGCACAAACATCTATCAAGCTCACAATCTAACCCGTACCGTCCTCACTGCCCACACAGCGTCTCTTGTCAGTAACCTCACCCCGTCAGCACCTTTCCGGTCGGGCACCAGGCCTCCAGCCGCAGGCTCCACGCGCGTACTCCCTCCCGTGGCGGCGGCCCGGCGCGACTGGCGGCAGCGGCGGCGGTGGCCGAGGGTGGTCGCGCCGCTGCCGCCGGGTAACGGACCGGCCAGGCCAGATCGGAGCGGCCGGGTGCCGCCAGTCCTGGTCGGCAGCTGCATTTGCTGAACTGCGAGACGGTCTGAGGAGGGAGAAAGGGAAGGGGAGAGAGAAGGGTGAGGTAGGTTGCGATAAATGTGAGCTGTCTAGCCTGTCTAGCTGTCTAATAAGCTGGGTGTATGGAAGCCGCAGGCTGTAAATAGTGATGAAAACATCATGAGAATAGTGTAGTCTGCAATGCGGCGACATGAATTTCATGCAATAAAACGAAGCGTAAGGCTTATTATTGTATTTGACAGGCCGAAAACAAGCAATACTCGCAAAGCATTGGTTGCTTCAATAAAAATGAGGATGAGACGGTATCACGGTGTATTTGTGTTTTCAGGTGTTCTGTTGTTGAGCCACTCTTGAGACGGGAGGCAATCCGACGTTCTCGCCACTCTGCACAGCAGCAACCAGCCGAAGAAGGTATTAGTGGCCCGCACCGCTGCGTAATTCGCCGGTCACGCGGGATGGGGCGACATTTACACCCTGTCTAACCCCGAATGACAAGACCCCGTACTGAGGCGTCCGCGAGGATCTGTTCAGAGCAGCATCCGTGTAAACATACCAAACAAACAGTGACATTGCTAAGGCAGCCGTACCAGCAGCGAAGATCGGATATACGTTCGCCGAATTTATTTGTCTTCTTGTCGCTGTTATCCTTCGTGCAGTGCAGTTCTCATAAGCCAACAAACCGACTGAGCCTAAGCTAGTATCGGATAGAGAGCTTCGCGGCATGGTGTTGCAAGACCTCTCAGAGAGCTAGCCGATACTCCAGGCCAAATCTCGCGGCTTTATGTAAGTGCATCTTCGCTGTTACTTTTTGCTTAGGAAGTAACGTCGAAGGAACCTAGGAAGCTGTCGTCATTATTTGTTACTGCAGCCTCCTTCGTAAGTTATCCATTTACGTCTATTTTTATGTTTATTTAACCGAAAGAAATTACAAGTCGATACTCAGCCAACATGATTTTACACAGTACATAACAACATCTGAGTAGATATGTGCGGAAAGCCAGAGAATATCGTGTTCATGTGATGTAAATCTCATTTGCTCATATGGCGCAGAGGAAGTTGACCGGACTAGTGTAAGGCCTACCATTTTATTTTACCTCTGACTTCATCAGTAAATTTAGGAGGTATAGTGCTGAAGGACCCGGAGTTACTGCAGCTATTGTCAGCTATGCATATGCTCATATAAATGGAGGCTATTATGCATAAAATACCGATACTTTTATGTAATTCAACAACTATGTCTTTGATTAGTGAATGTCCATCAAATTTATGAGACAGACAATTTGTAAGCGGATGTCAACAATGTTGTATTGTATTGTTACCCGTTTCAATGTATTCGAGCTTCTCTACCGGGCGAATACGGTGGACAACAGACATCACATTTGGCGCTCTCCGGTATTGCACAACCATTGATAGCCATATGTTACGACTGAGAGATGCTAAAAAGTCCATTTCATTGCGTGACAAACAATTACGCTGCCGGTTGAGTAAGGACCCTGCAGTCACATTGTCCGAGACCATGGATCCATAAACGAAACACTTCACATTTGCCGGTGCGCGTGACTCGTGCAACGCATTGTCTCCGCCATGCTCTGCTGGAAAACGAAAAGGAGACGGGGGACGGAACGGAGACGGGACGAGAGAGAGAGAGAGATTGGAGAGAGACATAGACACGCTGTCCCGATAAATCTGAGACAGCTGTTCGGGAGAGCGGAAGGACCGCTTCAGGACCCGAGAAACTCGCGTCTGGTCGGCGCCCAAAGCCAGGAATGTGAGAGGTGAAAACCCAGTAAATTGGGCACGTTGTCAAGGAGCTGCCTAAAAATACCGAGTATCCGGGAGATGAAAACAGCCATCTGCCGCATTAAAACTATTGAAGACAGTCCTTCGACGAAAATTTAAACGTGAGGACTCGGAATCAGGACATTGTAATAAGCTGTCAACTGTCAAGTCATGATGGAGCGATGAAAGAGGCACGACATTCCATTCTCTAACCAATGACATCACAAAAGTCTTCCATTTTAACCCTCGCCCGCACATGCCATTTTCCCATCCTAGAACGCACATGGGGGGGGGGGTTGCCACCCCCCGCGCCATTTCGTTCCTGTTGGAGATAGAGCTTAGCGGTAAGGACCAAAAAGATTCCTTGGGAAGAGACGAATCCAATGATACCCAGTTTTACCTTCTCAGGTCAGTCATTGACCTTCCAGGTCAGGTCAAACTAAAAAATGTTGCTGTTTTGGGTCACCCTTGGATATCAAGTGCGCTGCTTATCAAATACCGATGACGATGCTGTTTTCTGGTGCCAAGCCAGCTAGAACCTCTTTGTCACATTACCCGACCAGAATTTTGCTGCTGAGGTCATTTCAGGTCAAGTTAGGTCAAGGTCAATTATATGTGTTTGTATGTCTGTGTGTGTCTGTGTGAATACTGATGTGTGCACCGATTGTTTTTGGGTCCATATTACATGAAATCATGATCTGAGAAGCTTTTACCAAAAATGCAGTCAAAAAACTTCACAAAAAGTCAATTCAGCTTGCCTAAAACGCAATTATCTTAGATGACCTAGGTTGACCTTGACCCTGACCTTGACCCCTGTAAATCGTCGAACAACATGTTCCATGATAGGTGGGAGGTAAGACTGGCAAAAAAGGCCGAAATCAGGGTGTCAAAAGCTCACAAGGCCCATGGCAAACGCTAAATGTTGAGAATTGGCCATTTGGGTCATGACATGACCTGAAAAACAAGGTCATATCTCCGAAACCAAAAATCACAGAAACTTCAAATTTTCAGTGGGCATCAAGAAAGGATAGAGGAGCAGCTATACGACAAATCAGCCCTATAGCTCTAAAAATGTTGAGTACAGAGCAGAAAGACTACCTGGGGGGTGACAACCACCCCCCCCCCACCCCACCCCCCATGTGCGGGCGAGGGTTAAGCCAGTTACATCACAGACACGCTGGTAGCGTAGCACTACCTCCTGCCCTTGTTCGCGGTAACCCAGATCTGGAGGCGCTGAGATGCAAATCGCAGAGGCGGCGCACGTGGTAACGGGTCAGCCGGGCCTCCACAGAGGCGGAGCGGAACACTCGGCGTGATCCATCGCCGGCCCGAGGCTGCTGGGAGCGGGGCGGGGACGGAAGGAGATAAATGTAGCTGTTTGTTGGTATTTAGGATTGGGAGAGCGGTAGGCCTTAGCGACATCTATTTCCCATTTCCTAGTTCATTTTCACGCATGAGGAAATACTACAGGGATATAATTTCATGTCACACCGATTGACAGAATAATCAGAACGCCGTATGGCATATTTCATATCACGCTCAATAATATATGTATCTGCGCAGTGCGCACTGGTGATATGTTGCGCCTCCTATATGCTGGAAGTTATCCGTCTATCCTTACGTCCGTATAGCTTCCATATAGCTGTAAATCATCCGCGCTTATCGCCAGGAAAAGACTCAGGAATCGCTATCTCTGGGACCACAGACCACTGACGTGAGCCAGCACGCACACTGCAGCCGCCTCCAACCTGCCATTTTCCCGGATCATAGATCATGCGATCTTTTTACTGGCGGATCCACACCGGTGCTGCTTCCCTCGCACGATCGGCCGCAGCGCCATAACTGTCCGCCTGTCCGCCGGATCGCTGAGTTCGGTGAGTTGGGCTGAGTTTAGTGAGTTCGCTGAACGCTGACTGCGATCGCCACTGCAGTCGGGTCTTGTTTTTGCCATGGTCGGTCGCGCAGAGCTGCCTCGGCTGCTCGTAAGTACGAGCGCACGTTACCTCGGGAGCGGCTCCGTGACTGCCGGTACGCCGCACGCGTGACTTGGGATGCAGACCGCGGGTTTTGTAGAAATCGGGAAGAGGAGACCGAGAGAGGGAGAGAGGGAGAGAGAGGGAGAGAGGGAGAGAGAGGGAGAGAGAGAGAGAGAGAGAGAATGAAAGAATGAAAGAAAGAAAGAAAGAAAGAAAGAAAGAAAGAAAGAAAGAAAGAAAGAAAGAAAGAAAGAAAGAAAGAAAGAAAGAAAGAAAGAAAGAAAGAAAGAAAGAAAGAAAGAAAGAAAGAAAGAAAGAAGAAAGAAAGAAAGAAAGAAAGAAAGAAAGAAAGAAAGAAAGAAGGAAAGAAGGAAAGAAAGAAAGAAAGAAAGAAAGAAAGAAAGAAAGAAAGAAAGAAAGAAAGAAAGAAAGAAAGAAAGAAAGAAAGAAAGAAAGAAAGAAAGAAAGAAAGAAAGAAAGAAAGAAAGAAAGAAAGAAAGAAAGAAAGAAAGAAGAAAGAAAGAAAGAAAGAAAGAAAGAAAGAAAGAAAAAGATTTTCAGAAACTGAAACAGAGGGAGCAATAAATCATAACATAGGATGAATAATAGATATGGGCATATGAATATGGCTGCACGTCTTCTTAATATCTTTGGGTATCCTGAAAAGTCCTTCAAGTTGTGAGAGCGCCATCCGCAAAAGTAATTAGAGTAGCGAGGAAGTCCACTTCCGGGCGTTGTTGGCGCACGAGGACGAAATGTGCCGTGGCACGGAGAGGGGAGCCGTTGTGGAATGTGGTGTCAGCTGCCGCCTCGGCCGTCCGTCTCGGTAGGTGGGTCCGAGGAGGGGAGCGTGTCGACAAGGAGGGGAGAGGAGAGGAGGAGAGAGGTGTGGGAGGGGAGGGGAGGGGCGGGGAGGTGTGTGAGGGCGAAGAAGGAGAGGAGGGAAGGTGTTGAGACTCGGAAGGAGAGGAGTTCCTAAGTAGTCCCACCTTTGATGTTTTAATTTTCAACATTCTTTATTTGATATCACAGTTAGATCTAACACGAAGCCTGTTAGCCGAAGATATATCACCGTGATCACAACTACCGAACAAGAAGCTATCATGCGACTGCATCTTCCGTTCGTCGCGGGTCATAGAATCCATGAACCGATCAGTATGTGATTATCACTGCCATCATTGGTTACACCGAGCTTCTCAGCATCCCTGCCAGCTTCGTCACGAATGACTGCACTGTGCACAGCTGCACACAACAACGGTAACTCATGTCT